TTCTCATATATATCTTAACATAGATTAATATCTCATTAGCTAGATTGCTAGTATAAATAGATATCATATGCTTTGTAATCTGGTTGAACTTCTTGAAATAAAGAAATCTTATGATAGCTTTCATTGTTCTTGATTATTCTTTCTAAGTTGTTCACACATTCTTTATAACCCAACATGATAGATTAGTTTCTTCAACTGCATATTTCTCAAATTTATCCATAGATTAAGAGATCTAGGATCAAATCAACAAATATTGTTGTCAATATATGTTGTGGATTTATCTACAATAGATACATTTGTAATTTGTCAATGTATGTTATTTTATGTACAATTTGCAGTCCATGACTCCAAAACAAAAGGATTATTTGTACCTCAACATGGTTTAATATGTGTAAGAGTGGTTTTGTCAACATATATGAGGGAAACTACTACATGAATTGCATTCTTGCTTTAAGTTTTTTTTTCTAATTTCATATCGCTCTGCATTGTGTGGGTAGACAACTAGTAAATACAATATATTTAAATTAATTAAAATTTTGAATTTTATAATTACCTAAAATTATAATTATACATATTTGTTGATTCTCTCTCTCATTGATTTGATGATAATCCCGTTACCTTATACGAAGTATTTTTGTTTCTGTCTCTCAGTTCCAGTGATCATCACTGAGTCTGTTCAGTAATCGCTGAGAACATGTAATGTAAATCCATCAGCGATAGCAATACTTCAAGAAGACAAAACTCACACCAAAGAACCTTCAGCGAAAGTCGAAGACTGAAACTGAAGATTAGAGACTGGCGAGTTCGTGATCTGAAATGGTATTCAGTGATTACGACTTTGTCTACACATGTGTGAAGACTGCTCAAGCCTCAGCAAATGCTGAAGAGACCTTCAGGTTATTCCAGCATTCGACGATCGAAAGAAGCTTGTTGAGCACGATTGTTTTTGTCTTGTCCTTATACACACAAAGGACAAACCCATACCCTTTCTAGAACATAGTACGGTACGAAGTCGGTTAGTTGACTCTACTACCCACCAACTTCATGAAAGGATGTCTGCTCATGAATAGGCTTTTGTACTATTCACCATAGCAAAGGACAAGTCTTTCTATAAAGGCTTGACACGTGTTCAAACTCTAATGCATTACATTAAATGTGCATTTAATGCAATGGGTATAAATAGATGTGTTCTATCTCCATGCAGAGATACTGATACTTGCTCTTGAACTCTAAGTTATGTTCATAAGTAAAAGAACACACATCTAAGAACACACTACGGTTATCATCAAAAGCAAGTTAGAATCCCTTTTTAGTATTCTAAATAGTTCTTACTCAGAAAAAACTTACTTTCTTCTAAGTCATATACAACAAATCATTTCTCTTTGCTAAGAACTAGTGTGTAACTTAGATTGTTTAGATAGGTTATATTTACCTTATTCTTCCGCAAACAATCTTGTAAAATATGTATTGATCCTTCTTTATCAATATATATCTTAAATTTGAAAAGTTTACTGTGTTTGTATTCATCCACCCCCCTCTTCTACAAACTGTTATACACATCTTGTAGACCCTAATGGGACCAACAATATTAAAACATATAATATTGATAAAATTACATATAATCTAATCTATGAAATTACATATAATACAATCTAATATGCATGATTAATAAAAGTCGCACAAATAAAATTACATTTTTATTCGTCTAAAAGTTGCTAGATTTTTTTCATACTATTTTCATTGATGTTTTGTCATAGTTGATGTTTATCATACAATATTTTAATCGTTTATTTGAAACTAATGTTTATGCTTTGATTAATATTAACTTAAAAAAAGAATCATATATCTATATTTATTAACTAAAAAATAATTAGAATGTATATCTTAATTTGTAAAGTAATTAATAAATATTGGAGTGACACTATTTTTGAAAGAGTAAATGAATTCTATGTGTATAAATGATAATTATAAAAGTTGATATGACATAATTGGAAGTATAAATTAATTAGGGGATTTGAATCATCTAATAATCAAGGTTCAAAATAGCATGAAACATGGTGTAGTGGTAAGGAAACATGGTGTAGTGGTAAGGTCAAGCCTCAAGTTTTACACGCCACGGTGATGATGCGATGTTTTTCAAGGTGTGATATTAGAAGACAAATTTGTATGTTATATGTATAATTATATATTTGCAATATGTTTTCAATTTATTATCTAACTAGGTTCGATCCCGTGTATTACACGGGGTAATTTGAAAAAAACAAATCATGTCAAGAACTTATCTTACAGATATGAATGATCATCGAAAGTACGATGCTACTTTAAACTTGTACTCTTGAAATAACTCTAAAGTATAACTCTGAAAAATGACTCTTGAGACTTGAATTTAAAAATGAAACTATATCAATAACTAGTTAAAATAAAGTTAACCCTAGAATTAAATTAAATTTAGAAATGAAACTATATCAGTAAATTGAATTTAAACTTAGAAATAAATTTAGAATAACTCTTCAGACTTGTACTCTTAAAATAACTCTGAAGTATAACTCTGAAAAATGACTTCAGACTTGTACTATCAAATAACTCTGAAATAAACCTCTTCAGACTTCAGACTCTGTATAGGCAAGCCAGAAACTCTACATGCACTATACAGAGGCTCTGCATGCACTATGCAAAGGCTCTGCATGGTGCTCTACATGGTGTTTTGTCTGGAAAAGAAGACTTCAGAATTTGGGTGAGCTAACTCTAAAGAACGACTCTTCAGACTTGTAATATGAAAATAACTCTGAAGTAAAACTCTGAAGAATGACTCTTCAGACTTGTACTCTTGAAATAACTTTGAAGTATAAAATCAATCACAGTAAATCAGAGTTCAGACTTCTAGGTCTAAGAAAAAAGACTTCAGAGTTCAGACTTCAGAACTCGGGTGAGCTAACTCTGAAGAATGACTCTTCAGACTTGTGGAAGACTTCAGAATTCAGACTTCTAAGTCTGAAAAAGAAGACTTCAGACTTCTTTTTCTAAGTCTAAAGAAGACTTCAGAGTTCAGACTTCTAAGTCTTAAAAAAAAGACTTTAGAGTTCATACTCCAGAGTCCGGGTGAGCTAAGTATGAAAAAACAGACTTTAGAGTTCGGGTGAGCTAACTCTTTAGAATGACTCTTCATACTTGTACTCTTGAAAAAACTCTGAAGTATACCTTTTAAGAATGACTTCAGACTTGTATTCTTGAAATAACTCTGAAGTAAAACTCTGAAGAATGACTTTAGAATTGTACTATTGAAATAACTCTGAAGTATAATTCTGAAGTATAACTCTAAAGAATGACTCTTTAGACTTGAATTTAGAAATGAAACTATATCAATATTTAGTTAAAATGAAGTTAACCCTAGAATAAAATTTAATTTAGAAATGAAACTATATCAGTAAATTGAATTTAAACTTAGAAGAGCGCCTATGTCAAATTTGAAGAAGAAAATATTCCAATCTATCATAAGGACCAGAGCCCCTGTTGACTCACCAACCAAAAGCAAGGCCAACCCAAAATCAAGGCCAACCAAAGGCCCTCTGGTCAACCATTGCCTCTGGTTCGTCTATCCAGAGCCTCTAGGTAAAAAAAAAATGTTTAATACTTAAAGAATTTAAGTTTCAATTACAACCAGAGACCCTCTGGTCAAACATGAATATCAACCAGAGTCTCTTTGGTTCCTTTATGATAGATTGGAATATTTTCCAAGGTTCAAATAAACAACCAGAAGCAAAGACATCTAGAAGCCAGAACAACCATAGAGGCTCTTGCTTACAAGACCAAGTCTAAGTCTTTAAGACTTATCTTCAAAGTCTAGATAAGTTTATTACATGACTTGTACTCTTGAAATTACTGTGAAGTAAAACTCTTCAGACTTCAGATCTCTATATAGGCAAGCCAGAAGCTCTGCATGCACTATGCAAAGGCTCTGCATGGTGTCCGTTTGAAAAAAAAGATTACATAGTTCGGGTGAGCTAAGTCTGATGCTAACTCTGAAGAATGACTCTTCAGACTTGTACTCTGAAAATAACTCGAAATAAAACTCTGAAAAATGACTCTTCAGACTTGTACTCTTGAAATAACTCTGAATTATAAAACCAATCCCATTAAATCAGAGTTCATACTTCTAAGTCTGAAAAAAAATAGTTTAGAGTTCAGACTTCGGAGTTCGGGTGAGCTAAGTCTGAAAAAAAGAGTTCAGAGTTCAGACTTCGGAGTTCGAGTGAGCTAAGTCTGAAAAAGAAGACTTCAGAATTCGGGTGTGTTAACTCTAAGAATGAATTTTCAGACTTGTACTCTTCAGAATTGTAGAAGACTTCAGAGTTCAAACTTCTAAGTCTGAAAAAGAAAACTTCAGACTTGTTTTTCTAAGTCTAAAAAAAGACTTCAGAGTTCAGACTTCTAAGTCTGAAAAAGAATATTTCAGAGTTAAGAGTCTAGAGTTCGGGTGAGTTATGTTTGAAAAGGCAAACTTCAAAGTTCAGGTGAACTAATTTGAAAAATGACTTCAGACTTGTTAATGCAAATTGTGTCTAGATACGTTCAGATGAGTCTAATTGAACCACTAATATAAATTGTGTCTAGATTCAAGTTTAGGTAGAAAAATAAGATAACCGACTCACCAAAAAATAACACGTGTCACCAAGTTAGTTATTTATTAGATATATAGATTAGATAATGATATTAAAAATAAACATTCATATTAGAAGAAGAAAAATCATATATATTATTATAAAAATTGTTTTTAATTGAATATTTAAAATAAACTTATAAAATTAATTTTATTATATTTATAAATTCGTTAAAGTATGAACGATGTGATTAGACATAAATTAAGTTAAAAGTAAAACGCAAAAAAATATAAGGAATTTCTTTTATAACGAAAATCACGTGTTATAAAAAAGACGGCGTCATATCGACAGAGACGTGTAATCAGACGGCTTTTTTTTTAAGGTTGCTAATAATATATCCGATGGCCGGCAGCCCATCGTGTCTCTTTCAGATCAAATTGGAAGATGCAACATATTCGAAGTAAAGCCTCTGCTCGAACAAATTTCTTTAACTTTTTGTATCTTCTCCTCCTTGATTTCCATGGCTGTTCTTCTGTATCTCGGGAAACCAATCCCTGAAACCCCATCTTTCCCGCTGATTGTCGCCGATCAACAACCAAACCCTTTGAAATATTCAAGAAATCTTCAAACCAGGGTGCGTGGGAAATGTCTGAGACGATCTCATGTGGTAAAAAGTTCATTGAAAGGTAAGTTGAGTTTTCTTTGCATTCTCATGGGTTTATTTTAAAAGTTGGCTGGTTTTCTATGTACATGTAATATTCGATTCGATAGAATTGGTGTCAGTGTTAGTGATACTGCATTTGGGTATATGTAGGTATAGTTTCATAGACGTAGGATGTGTGAGAATAGGAGTTTGGACCCTTGATGCGATAATTGAGTAATTAGTGTCGATCTAGTGGTTCTCTTCAATTAGAATTGATCAACCTCCTTACCCTTTTCACCACAACTTTTATTCTCGAAGCCCAAACCTGGTTTCTTAATGGTTTCTGATGAATTGAGGGGAAACTATACAATTTTGAACAACAACTGCAGTTTGACTTGCAGGTCAAACATGTTACTTTTCAACTTCAAAATTCAGTGAAAAATATCGATCTTTGTTAGAAGATATGGAGGTAGAAAAATGTTGGGTGTTGAATTTTCAAAGAAACACAAATGAATTTAGAATTCTAAAACAACTGTTTACTCCAATTTTTAAAATTGAGAAATTCTATTTGACTTTTAAAGTCAAAGGCTCCACGTTATAACTAAAATCTTATTGAGTACAGATATGCATAAATTGATTACAGACACAGCCCAGTTTGTAAGAATTTTCAAAAGTCAAAAAGCTTAGGAAGGAGATTTAGAGACAAAAAAAATGGGTATTGGTTTAATAACAAACACCTGCTAATAACAGAATTCATAATTTTATAAAGTAGAAATAAAATCTTTCAATTTCGGGAGACATGATGACCTGTTTTATTGCTGAGGTCCAAATTTTACTTACCAGACTTTTAGTTGGTGCTTGCAGAAAGTACTCGTGAATATGATGTTCCCCTTCTTTCTGCTTCAGAGGTACTCTCTCTCCCAGAATGCTGTAAGAAATTCAGCTTCGTGTATTGTATTCAAATTCTTTTGCTTCTTAAAATAAGTTTAAAACAAAGGTAAGTGAAACTGAGATTTGAGATGTGAATCTCATTAATGATGGTATGATTTCATCAAGGCAATAGAAAGTTTGAGGAGAAGTCGAGAAAGTTACAAAAGCACACAACGATATTTGGCTATGTACTCGAGCGTTTTTGGTGGAATAACAACTGATCAGGCTGCCATGGTGATTCCCATGGATGATCATATGGTTCATAGAGGACATGGAGTTTTTGATACTGCGGCCATAGTGGACGGGTTAGCTATTTAATTTGCCCTTGGATGATGTTTTTCTTTCTCTTGCTTTTGTCTTTATTTTTTTCCTCTATCAAGCAAGGATACACACTATAGGCTAAGAAAATGGTGAGGTTTTGGGAGGTAATGGGTTAGAGTCTTGGAAACGGGCTTATTGCTATATGCAAAGGAAATATCATGTATATAGATTTTGCTTCCTAAACCTTGCAAATCTAAGGAAATATCATGTTAGGGCCTTTGCACGCACAAATTGACTTTCAGACACAAGAACATTGTATGCTTGATGGTCTAATAGTGGTTTACTCTTAAAGACAAAATCAATAGAGCAATAGAGGTAAAGCATTAGACATAACCTTCTTACAGTAATTTCTTTTTTGGATCTCTATGTTATAATTTGAAAACTAGATCATAACAATGTTTTTTTGTTTAAAATGCATGCTATGATATCTACAACTTTTTTGATTATCATGTTTATCTGCTCCCCCTCCCCCTCCCCCTCCATGTAATATATATCGAGGGATTTGTCAAACGGAATTGATAATTGCTTTTCATAGTACTAAAACCACATGAACTTATATACATATATATAAACACACACACACACTAGCTGTGTACCCGCGCAATGCAGCGGGATGTAACATTTTTCAACAGCACAAAACTAATGTGAAAAAAGTAAATCTGGGAAATTATGTTTATATGAAATTAATGTTAAAATCAAAGTTAAATAAATTACGTACACATTTTGTAAAAGAAGACAAAGCATATTGATGTGAATTGCGATAATAAGACACGTTTTCCCTAGAAAGAGACATGGGGAGACTATCCAAATATAAAAGGCAACAATAATTGATCCAAGTTACTGCTTTAATTCTCATAATTCAACTGTTGAGCATTCCTCCATAGTCTTTCATTCTATAAAATGATTCTCGACAATTTCAGATGTAGAAATCCAAGTTGAATCTTTCCATTTATGTAAGTCCCCTTAAACCAAGTTAAATTATAAGTACCAACGTTGCTGAAACTGAAACATAGAAAGAGAACTTCAATTTCCCTTCTAGCAAACTCAATGCCTTTGGCAAGAAGATCAACAACAAAGAAACCGGTTAGAAGTTCGACTTGCACTCTTTTCTAGTTTTTAAGTCATTTCTAGAGATATAGATTATAGGAGATAAAAAAAGGAAGGAACAAAAGAGGAGATATGGCTTTAGCAAGCATTAATATTCTATTATACCTTGTTTTCGAATATATGACGATGCTTCTCTCAAAAAATGGCTTGGAAGGCTAAGAACAAAAGAAACTCACAATTTGGACACACGGTTGAAGATTGCCATGGATATTGCTTAAGGACTTCACAATCTTCATGGGATGTCTACAAACAAAAGCAATGGGATTCAATATTCAAATTTTCCGACAGAGCATTGTTTTTATTTTCATTCCATCAGGCTAAGGGGATGTTTACCTAAACTCTTACAAGGTAAGATTTTAGTCCATCAAAAACGACATTGTATGCAACAATTTACCCCATAAGCACTAACTAGGTAATAGTTATCACCCTCACTTAACGGGTGATCGGTTTTTCAGTTCTTATCATGTTTGTACGATAAGTTAAGTGACTTGGTAAGCACTTAAACAGGAAATATAGATTGATTTAGCAATGCACAAACTAGGAGGCATCAAAAAAAAATTATTTGCTCCTAGAAGACATCATCAAGCTCTATTGTGAATGATAGTATAATCATGTCAACATAATTATCAGTTTCCTTAGAATAAATCTCTTAGTGTGCATAGGAGATGTCTAGTCCTTATGAAGAACATAGGAAAAACAAGCGAAATATGGAAAAAATGCTTTCTCAAATAGAATTATTATTTATCTAAAAAGTATACTATAAATACAATTAAGCTGAGAAAGGCAGTTTAGAAATAAGAATAAAATGTTTATGAAATTGTGCGATACAAATTAGAAACCAATTTTTACAACTCATAAACTCATCAAGCCATTCTCCTGGTCCAAAAATTAAAATTATATGAGGATGGACCAAGAGAATGCTCAATGAAGTAAATGATGTGTTTGCACCGATGGAATGAGGTTGGTTACTCAAGTAAAATTAACATTTAAAAATGAAGAAAATACATATATGAAGATAAGAAGAAAGAAGTTCCTTGTTCTAAATTATGATTACATTCAGATTTTCTAAATAAGAAGCAAATGAAGTTCCAGTAACTCAGATGGGTGAAGCATTTACGCATTTACTTTTTACTCTCAGAACTACAAAATTGTGATTAGATTCAAATTTTACAAGTCGAGCTTCAATACTTTAGGTCTTATGTTTCCATTAGTGAAGATATGATTTTTGGTCCAATTCACTTGATTGATCATATGGGGAGAATTGGACATGGGACGACAAAACAGAGAACAAAAAATGTAGTAAAACAAAATAGACGAATGGAACCTGAAGGTTAGTAGTAAGTTGATTTTGAAACTCACTTACTTCTAGATAATGAATGTGTTAATACTTGTACTTCTTTGAATTATGAAAGGCATGTAATGCAACCAAAGCCTATGCCTCCCAAGAGGTCAAGGGGTGGGTGTGTGACAGTGTGAGTTGATTTGTGGTATATAAATATTATATAATGGACTCCTTTCAAAACCAAAACTAATATAAGTTAATGACATTAACTGAATTCTCAATAGGAGAGTATGTCTGCAAATGTCTCCACGGTCCTGTACAATCTATCAATCTATGCTGAATCTTGATGTACATGGTTTATAGTTTGATGAATCTAAGGTATGGCTATATTTGATCTTAGCTTGGCTATATTAATCCATGGGGGCAAACTCTTAAAAGAACAAGAAGCGCATACCTGACTGCAGTGGGAATAACATTGAAGGGGGTGCTATAAAGCTGCAACAACAACAAAATTATGTTAGGTAAAACGTTACACACGCAATACGCACAACCCAAAAAACAAGAGAAGAACACAAGAATTTACTTGGTTCACACGATCAGATTGATCGTGCTAGTCCACGGGGGCAACTAGGGTTTTCTTTATTTAGGTGCTACAACGTTTACAAGTACAATGAGATTAATATATATAGACAAACATAATTAGGGTTATCTCCTAATCAAGGAAACTAGGGTAGAGACTAGGGCCGGCTCCTTTTGGGCTAGG